CATGCCGCACAAATTATAATACAATTCTTGATGCAGGTGATAAACTGTAGCTGCGGCTAGCAATTATCACAGATAAAGACCGCTTAAAAGCGTGGAATATTGCGGAAAGGATCGACAGGGCTTCTGAAGTCGTTAGCCCGTATGTTCATTTGTTTTACACAATTAAATGTTACGATAAGATTCCAGATACATAAAGCATCTAGACGTACCGCGCATTGCTAGACGATAATACAGGGTAATTAAACATAATTGATTGCTTTGAAATACGCCTGTGCACCGGGACTGTTCAATTATTCTCTTAATACACACGTACCTTATCAGAACAAAAAAACATAAAGTCGCTCTAATTTCGATGCCTCGAACGAATCAACAAAAATTACAGTGTAAACACTTCGCCCGATTCCTTTTGCCACATCGAAAGGAACGTAAAAAACAAACATATCTTAATTAGAACACTATACACTACATTCCACAGACATTTAAAAAAAAATTATAACTTTCCCTATATTTAATTTATACAACTCAGCGTGGAAAAAGACCTTCAAAAACCGTCAAACCATTAGCGATAAACCGCAATCGAAAATACGGTCGTGAAAGTATCAAAGGCGCGTATATCGAGCAACAAGTAGATAAAAGTGTTAATAACAAACAGTTATCGCTCGAAAATACATTGAAAAAACAACGGAACGTTGATTATGCACCACGCTCATAATACTAAGGTAACGAATCGATAAAAATAAAGACACCGCGATGCATGTGAAATGGAGCGAGAATAAATCACGGGTGACCCGCGTACCGCGGGAACGGGTTCACGGCTCCGAATCGGACGTGAAACATTGTAGGGGCTCGTGTGTCCATATTTGATTCTGGTCCCGGTGTAAACGGGCCGCGGCGTTGCGAAATCGGGGACCGGATCGTTGCACGAGGCGAAAAACATTCCAAAAACGAGTGAAAGCGCCGCCTCCCCGACGTCAGCGTTTCACCGCGCGCGCATGCTTTGCGAATACGCATTTCCCGTGTCGAGCAAATATCGTAATTGAGTAATCGCGTTTGATCGCGGGGATGGACCCGACGATGTCCCGTGCAATCGCACCGATTGCGCGTATCCAATCTCAGATCGACGGGGACGAGGGAGTTCGTTCGATCGGCCGGCCGACTCGCAACCGGCGCCGATACCGAACGTTGTCGTTACCTTTATCTTTATCGTGGTACGCTCGATGATTCAATTAACTCGTTTTAATCCGACTCCGACCCTCTACGATCGTAAACAAATTTCATAACGACCTGTTTCGGGCCGAGACATCGCGATCACCGGGCATATTGTTTTCTTTTCCTTCGTGAACCGCCGCGACTCTTTTTTCGCGAGATATCGGGTTTATTTGTGACTGATATCAGTCGTCGAGAAATTTATCAGTTGAACCTGTGTTCTTTTACATGAGATGTTCGGCTCTGTGACTGATGTTCTTTCTGGAGAAATTGTTTTCCCTGGGTTCGTCCAATCGGAGGTATTCTTTTAACGTGAGGCGACGGATGATTGGTTTTAGGAGATTTAGTAGAAAGCATAGTCACTTTATCTTACTTGTCTTATTCATTGCATTAATACTATATAACTTTCACTCGAAGTTTTCGCTCACTTGGCAGAGGACACTAATTTACTCGTTTCGAAATAAAAAACTGAATTTTTAATTGATTCCGGAGAAGTTACGATACTCTAAGGATAAGTCTAGCGGTTTCCTCTTGATAGCTTTGATATTCGCCAAGTACCCATTAAACTGATAAATTTCCGTCAACACGCCCGCGGGCGGTGAAAATTGTAACGACCTACAATAATACTCAGTACCGAGCTGCTGTACTGTCATTATAGCATTTATGTCATTTTGCGGCACAACGAAGATGAATGCCGCAGCATTCATGTTCGCGATCGTGTTAAGTGTAGAGGTCAGAATTATTTGTCAAGTATCTGTCGTCGCAATTATTTATCTAGCATCTTCCAAGAATATCAAAGACAATGAGGTATCAGTCGGAGCGAGTCGAACAATTCCGAAATCGAGCGCAGCGCTCGCGCCGCAAAGCTAACTGTTCCCGGGACGACTCGAAAAGCGGGACCACGGTAATTACCGCTAATCGTGACCGGCTAATTGCAACTAAATTGAAGCAACGAGATCCACGTGCTCGATCGTCGCCGCGGCGCGGACGTACACGATCGAAAGCAACGTACTTAGTTGCGGGCCGTGTTCGTGGCGCGATTAACATTGGCCGCGCGATACAAATAAGGTACCGTTGCGTTCGCCGCGCGCTGCATTCCACTGTCCCGACTCACGGATTGACACTGACGACCTGCATCGTCTAGAAATCGAAACGTGCCGCGTTTGCGAATACACTGTTGGCGGCGCGCGAAGCGGTACACCGCGCATCTCTCTTCCCTTCCTTTATCGAGACGCCGAGGATCCCTTTAGGACCCAGGATCCTTCGTCCGCGTTGATCCCTTTTATTAGACTGCTCCTGAATTGCAGCAATCTATATATTTTAATTTCCTTGTTTAACCATCTCGCGGTGCAATGTCGTCGCAATGGTGGCTTCGAGCTTTGATATCTACAATTGAAAGGTGCACAGAATAACTTAATTATTCGAATAGTGAGAGATCGATACGTGGTTTTCTTCTTTTGCAGTACTTCAGGGTTAACGTTTTGAGCCTCGACTCTGTGAAAAGTGTTCGTTGACGATATTCATTTGATTCATTTCTCTGTAAATTGAATTTAATTGGGGAAAGAAATAAAAGTTTCTGCTTTCTTTTTAATTATCGAATGAAATTTATATAGATTAACTGTAAGATTCTTGTGCGAGTACAAAAATAATTGAAAAGGTGATTGAGAAATTCTTAATAAAATATTCCTGTGATGGAGACGACGCGATTGAGTTACTTTCATAATTCTCGATTGAGAAGGAGTTTTATTTTTATTTTTTCGAGCGCGCAGGTATTATTTCGAACGCTCGGTGCATGGACCGGAGATTCTGTAACGATCGCAGAAGAAAAAGACACATTCCGAAATTGCATCATTCGAGTCAATTTTTCCCACAGAAGCGGCGGAATTGCGAAACTCGGCGAATAAGAGACCGGAAACTGAAAGGCGGTGCTCGAACCGCGTTAACGATCGTTTCGAAAACTGTGCTACGCCAATAGTGACTACATTCTTCCGATAATTAATAGTTGAACGGGATCGACAATTATCGTTCGTATTAAGTTGTTCCCCGACTGAGTTTTCGTGGTTTAAAGTCTGCGTGCAAAATCAGGCCCGTAATAACTCTCTATGAAACACACAACTGTAATATAATTCCTAGTAATGGATACATGATAGGTATTATACAATACTTAATCGGGAATAGTTAAAGATATGCAATTAGCGGTGAAAACACTGTTTGTTAACACTTTTACTTTGCCAGGGAAAGCGATATGTCTAAAATGAGTAATGAACTGTTAATTCAACGAGTTTGTGGTATCTATATTCATGTTTTCAACTTATCTATGTAAATAGAAATGTAGATGTTATTCCTGTTCCCGCGAGTTGTCTACAAAACGAACGAATTTTAAAATTGTCAAATATCACACTATCAAATTGAAGATTTTACTTCTAAATCTCCGTGTTTCCAAATTTCCAATTAGCTAATCAAATTTAAAAGAATCGTACACCTCATAAAATCCACAACCTGGCAACAGAACGAGCAGCAATTGAATCAAACATCCTTCCATTGAAATCCAGCATCCGAGAATCAATTGACAGAGATTTCCGCGACGTTTCCACAAAAATCATACGTCTAGTTATAAACCCCGGTGGGCCGCGATCAAAGTTGACTCACGCCGTAATCTCTGGCAATCTGTCGACGGGATGAGCAGCAACTGAATCAAATATCCGTCTATTGAAATCCAGCATCCGAGAATCGATTGACAGAGATCTCCGCGACGTTTCCACAAAAATCATACGTCTAATTATAAACCCCGGTGGGCCGCGATCAAAGTTGACTCACGTCGTGACTCATTTCTGTCTTTCCGGGTGTATGTGTCGTAGCAGAGACGCGGAGTCCTTCGCGGGCCGTTCTGCCCAAGATCCGCGGCCTTATTCGACGCCCGACGGTGGGGCCCCGGAGAGGCCTCCGCCAATTATCGGCCGAACAAACGAACGGACTACGATGGCCTTCGGTTATCTCTGGGTCAACCGAGACACCGTGTATCGATGTATCGACAGCGGTTCTTAGAACACCGAGGCTAATTGTAATTCAAATCCGAGTCCCCTTGGAGCTGGCTGTCGTGAGAGGCCACCGTTCAAGGTCCCCGGGAAGCTGTCCCCCGTCGAGATCTCGGGCTTCCACTGGCCTTGGCCACCGGAATCGAACGATAATTGCGCTTTTCACTCGCGGATCGGGCCACGATCTTATCGGGGATATTAAACGATCGTATTTCACGCCGCTGCCCGACGCACGAAACGGATCTAACGCGCGTAGGCGAGGCCAGAGTGCATCGGCTATGATCTACGGCCCGGCTCGCGATGGAAAACGCGCGCGCGCGTACTCGGGAACGTTCGCTGGGAGATAATAGATGCCGGCGATGAGTAACAGTGTAACAAAGGTCGTTGAATCCCTTTTGTTGCGCGGATCGAATCGAAAGTTCGCGAAAAGCGCGTTGCTCGCGCGATGCGTTAGCCGTGATATTTAGACGCTTCCGCTTTTCGTGTTTGATCTGGCGCGAAGATTAAAGAATGCGTGGTATATGGAAATTAAGTTAATATCCAAAATATTTGTGGAACGTTTGAATTTCATTGTTACTTGTTATTATGAATCTTGTAGTTCTTTCGTCTTCTTCATTCTTCGGCAAGATTTTAAGATGATCTGTCGCGATGATGGGTTACTTGGATTTTTCAAAGTATTCATTTGGTACCTTTGGTTTTATTTTATTTTCGAGCGACAAGAATAAACAGGAGAATAACTTTGACGGTCGGTTGTTTCAGATATGGCACAAACAGTGCTTCAAGTGTCAGGGTTGCGGAATGATCCTGAACATGCGGACGTACAAGGGGTTCAACAAACAGCCATACTGTGAGGCGTAAGTAAAATGGTCTTCTCCTTTTTTCCATTCTATTTTAACGCTACCGTGTTTACTCGAAACGAGCCAAGGCAAAAGGATTAACTCTGTGGAGAGTATAATTTCCAAGACATGTAACACAATTTTTTTTCTGTCGAACGTTCTTAATTAGGGTTCGAGAAGAATTAATCGACTACTTTCAGTCTTCAAAAAAACACGTGATAAGATACAACATCCTCATACACCACCTTTATCAGTACCCACCGAAGGCGACACTCTTCTCTTTTTTTCACTGCGACCTTTCACATCATTATAGGTATCGGCGAGCCATAAAAACTTTAACCCTTCTCAGAGTAAAATTCCCGAGACACGAAAATCGTTTTTTTTATCGGGCATCGTTAATTGGAGGCTAAGAAAGATTAATTGACCTCCTATCTCCCCTTTTACAATTTTATTTTTATTCATCAGTTCCGTTGCTATCAATCAATTTCTATTATACATCAACGCGACCGATTGATTCTTTTCGTCGACGCGATAATCGCGATGCTCGCATCGTGCGCGCCGACGTGCCGTTAGAGTTAGGTTAACGAATTCACCAGTTAAATCTTAAACAGAGATTACGTTGCACGGGTCGCGAGTAAAACCGGCCGGTTCGTTGGTCGCGCGGGGCGGGCGATTCGCGTGTAACGTGGCTTTGTATAATTGTCCCGGTGAGCAATTCGGCGGCTAATAAACTGCAATTCGACGGGGTGCGCGCGTTGCCGCGGACGCCTGGGAGAAGGTCGGGACCGTTCGGCTGCGAGCGGTGTTCGCGAGCCTTCTGATAGTTAAACGCATGCCAGGCGTGTCGACGCAGCGAAAGCGAGCGGTCCTGCGGTCAGGATAATATACGGCTGTCGTAGCTTCGCGAGAGATCCTCCTTTTATCTCCGTGGTTCCTTTCAGTCGGCCGTGCGTCCTTGCCGCGTCCACGGTAGCGGTGCATCGCGCCAGCTAACAGTAACGTTTCCACCGAGAATCCAGGTGAAAGGATCCGAAAGTACCGCGAAGCGCTGGCCCGGACTGTAACGCTGGTCCGCGGGAAACACGCAGGCTGTTCTCTTCTTGTCTCGCACAATGGCACCGTGCCCATTTTTCATTCCTTTGGAAAAACGATTCGGCTGCTTTCCTGTCAACTTCTACTTCTTCTTTTGGAAGAAATCACTGGCATCGAATTATTTATGAACGTTGCACGATTGCATTCTTTCAAACTAGGTTCTTAGGCGTAGAACCTTCCTGAGAATTAAATGTTTAACCCTAGAATTAATGACCAGACGAATTGAATTTTTAAATATTTTTGTGTAGAAGGTTCGAGAATGTGTCTATTGAAGTTTCAATTGAAATATTTGGATCTACCTGATAATTCTAGTGTTAATAGCCTCCGCAGAAGCGATTCAAGCACTTCATTAACACCGTTACTCAACCATTGTTTATTTAAATCGTATGCGATACGATTAATCGGAGATAGTGATGTATCTCGCAAGAAAATTCGTCCTTGGAATGATCAAGAACCCGATCGAGCCGTATTCATCGACTCTCGCGCTTCGCGATGGAATACAAGAGAATCAAGAGTGGCTACGTTGTGGTTCTTCTGATTTCCTTGGAGATAAATTGTGTAACAAGTTCCACGAACCTTAATTACAACACCAATTAAGATAGAAAAAGAACGCTGTCTATTTTCGGCACAATGGAGGCTGGTTTCAAGGATGACAGATGGTCCGGCGTGTGAATCTCGCGACTCACGCCCAGAAAACGATTACGACACCGTCGCGAGTAGAAAGTTGAGGAAAATTAAAGTCGCTTTTGATAAGTATTGCCATTGAACGATCCTTTAATATCTTTTATCGCGGCTTCTGTTGCGGTCGCGACGTAAAAGCAACGCGACGCTTTCTACTTACACTTCTTCATTTGCCCGCCTAACAAGTACCTAGCTGCGGATCAGACAAAGTTGCCATTTCGCGACCGGCCGGTCCGGTGCGCGCGCAGGGATAATTGGAGGCCTCGCGTCGCCGCGTAAGGTAATGCGTTCTAATAACAAGCCGACGTCCGATAGAATATTAATGAACGAGCGATTCGATGATTTTATCTTATTTGTTGATTAACGCGGCATCCCCGCGCGCACGGAGACCGCACGACAGCCTATCATCGATCTTATTTTATCTCTATTCTTGTCGCGTGAAAAGTATGCGACTCGCTTGACACCGTTATCGCGCGAAGTAATGATTATTGCCAGTCGTTTATCAGTTCGCAACAGGTTCACCGGGGAACGAAATCTTTGACCCCGATAGTTGAATCAATTGCCGGATCGATTATTCAACGAATACATCCGGGTCTCGGATAAATCACCGTCAGGCGATACTGTGGAATTGATATCGAGCTCTGTATCAATTTCGTGTCGCAGACGTAGAGCAAACTGTTTGACTATCTAGCAGAGGGCCGAGGAAGGAGCGTGTACAGTGTAACGCTACTTTGTGATTACCTCTGCACACTGGAACGATGTCGGTAAAGCAATACCTTCGCTTTCTCGATTCTTTCGAGTATCAGTGCGAAAGTAGTTGGATAACTTTACTAATTGAATTCCTCGTTTGTCCATACTTCGAGAATGTTGTCTATTCGATACTTACAGCCCAGAATGACTAACTTTCATTTTGTATTCTTCAAATTTTCATACCAGAATACCTAGTTGACGCTTAACGTCGTTAATCTCATCGATGATCTCTATTAACACTAAACCTACCGAGCACATTGACTTTTTGGAATGTCTATAGAAACTCCAAGATTGCACCTGTCGAAACTTCAATTGATTTACAGTTCATTTTCAGTATTGCCAGATCAATCTCTTTAATAATGTATTATAGAAACATATGTTATTTTATTAATAATTGCAAAAAGAAGACATCAGAAGTGTCTTTCTGACCCGCCTGGTTCTAGTGTTAATTGAGCATTCCAATTATCAAAACTTCTCTGTAGTTTATCAATGTAGCCTCAATGCTCGGTACCTTATAAGTTCAAACATCAAAATCGACTGACTCCAGTCGTTGGATTCCTTCGAATCGTAGAATCGATCGCTTGATCGAATCGCATCGTTCTGTATTTAAATGCTTTGGCGAAATTGATCGGTTTGGCGAATGAACGGGCCCGCTTTTTTGCCCGTGTCTCGTTCGATGTCTAAATAAGGCGTACCGGTCCACCGTTCGTCGACAACTTAATTCACGAGCCGGGAATAATCAATTGATCGTGGTTTCACGCGTTGCCCCGGCGATCGGTATGCAACGTTTCGCCGTGAAGCTGGTCCGGTGACTCGCGGAGTATTCCGGGCGAGCATCTGCGATGACGAAACCCCTTCGTCGCGTTTCGAATCAGCATTTCTCTTCTCTCGCGTAATTCGCCGCGTAACCGTGCGGCCATTCACGGCCGGAAAGATTCTTCTCCGTAACGAGGCAAGAGATGAACGGTTCACGGAACCTCTTTGTACTTACGTGCAATTGTCAGAATATTAATATCGCTGGAATGAGATAATAGTGATGCTTGAGTCACGTCCGTGTGGCGTGTAACATTTTTAGTGAAAGTGGTCGGCGTTAACCGCTTGGGTCGAAATTCAATCGACGACCGCGTGGACCATCTGTGCTCATTTTATTTACATAACACTTAATTGAAAAGAATCTCCGATAAAATAAGAAATGTACGTGATTTACGAGCCTACACCAGTATAACAGTACACTGCATAAAATAAAGCACAACTACGAACAGAGAGTTGTTGAAACTTTCAGCTTGAGATTGCGATCGCGTGTGAGAAACGTTCTTTCAAGTTGAGCGGTTACACTGTGAAAGCTTCTTCGATAAAAAGGACCTCTTAAATACATTTTAAAATGTTCTCCATTTATAATATACATTATATTTACTTACATCGTAGACAATATAAAATTATACGACTAATATAACCATAAAATTTCATTTATCCACAGCGTGATTTTTAACATGGAAGTATAGTCGATTCAGCGAACTATCCTTATAATTTCATAATGCAATTCGCAATCGCTACATCGAAGATACAGAAACACTCTACAATTCGTTAAAAGGAGAAAGTATCATTTCAAAGAATAATAGACCGCGCGTCGTGTTTTGCCGACTACGAAAAATTCAATTCCCAAGGATACAATTCACATTGCCGGAAACGCGGCTTATAACAGCTTAGCTCTTTCCCGTGGAAAAATGGATTTACCAGGAATTGTTTTCCGAACGTATACCACTGGAAATTGATTAGCTCCGGCAGACCGGAGTGTTCGAAGGTTTCACGAGCGGTAAGCCCCGCGAATTACGGGAGATCAAGAGGTTCGTATTCCGCGGCAGAAGCCAGCCGGTGCATGTGTCAGCAATGCGTGTCGAATCAGACGAGATGGGCCGAATAAGCAAAGCAGAACACGTGTGAGTCGTGAGATTCATTCATTCGTCTGGGTAGCGCGCCCCCTCGACGCCCCGCCGGCACCCTCGCCTTCATTTCCCTTGCTCTTTATCTTCCCCCTTTCTCGCGTCTGCTCATCGTTCATTTAATTTTTATATGCCCGTATGTACGGGCTGTGACGCGACGCACGGTTACTCGATCGACCTCTTTCGTGCACCGGTCGAAAACCTATAAAAAAAACTTAGAATTCATTCTTCGAGAATCGATTTTACGCGTTTGAAAATTCTTTCATTTGTCGCAGAAGGAAACTTTAAATGTTACGTACCACTGTTGATTTTCTATTTAACCCTCTATAGAGTGTGATTTTGAAGTCGTATATCAATATATTGGCATCTTGTTGATTTATTTGATTTTGCATAGCAAAGTGGCGAATACAATTCAGTAATTAATTGACTCAATCTTTTATACGCTCAGGCGTGAGTGATCAACATTGTAATTTCAAAATTATAAGGTATTTTTAATATAAGTATTAAGAACATTGAGTATATCGTAAATCTGCATATACCGGTTATATTTGTTAA